TATGTCTTTCTTCATATAGGAAGTCTATTGTCGCGTAACGTGGTGGCAGACGAATTAACCGGATTGTGCCAGATCTCAGACGAGTCGGCACTGTGGTTAGAAGTGTTGCCGCACGCCATGCTGCTATTGTTGGGCTGCGTGTTTGGTAGCGTTGCTGGAGGCGCACTGGTGCGCGTACGGAGGGCCGTGCGCTGCGCTGGACGCAGCGCAATGAAACTGGAACGCCTGATGATGCGGCTAGGTATCTTCGCGCTGTTGTACGCGTTGCCGGCACTGGGTGGCCTTGTCTGTGTACTGCAGGAGGCCTCGGTAAGGCCGCGATGGCGAAAATTGGCATTGTTGGCCGCGTTGGACTGCCGCGCGACGCAGAATTGCACCCCAGGCCCGGTATATCGAGCTGCCGGTCTCGAAGTTGCCCTTCTAAGACTCTTTCTGTCCCTCGTGGTCGGCGTCACCTCCGGCATGTGGGTATGGTCCGGTAAGACCTGCCGTGCTTGGAGCAGACTACTCGTTGCACCCAACAAATCCGCCAGAATACAAAGCCCTTTTCAAGGCTTCAAGCAGGACGACAATATCGCTTGATGACCTTGGATCTGTTTTATCAATGCGACATTTAAGAAACGTTGAAGTTTCAAATCTTGCGGATGTGTTTTAAGTATTTTAGACACTTTCTCAACATTGTGCGCACGCACGTGCATGCGTGTGTAGAAATTGCGATTTTTGTAAATTGCAAAATGGTAGAGGACTTTTTGACTTAGTTTAGTCCGCTCTATTTACACAAAAGCACTTGGTAAAAAATTGCGGGACACCTGTATATATGTTAGGCTGGAGTCCCAGGTGTATTTATCGCGTAACCGCGTAACCAATCAGAAGCGATCCGCTGTTGTGATTTCGTGTTTTACTGGTTATTGATTGGTTACGCGGTTACGCGATACGCTTCATGGGACTTCACCCTTAGTGTAACGTTCCGATAATGCATATCACTAATTGGCTGATTTAAAATAAAATATTCTCAATGGGCGCATTCAGCAGACTCAACAGTTGAGTGAGCGTTCGCTGCTATTGGTATATTCTTCTAGATCTAAAATTCTGATTGGATGAGCTAAAAGAATACACCAATAACAGCGATCCTCAACTGTTAAATCTGGTGAATGTAAAGCTGCCATTGGTAAAGAAGTGAAAGATTACTAGGCACCGGCCAATATGAGTGAATGTTTGCTATCACACTGCGCTAACGGGACCCTCCCTATGTTGTACATATTGTAAAAATAATGTCTACTTCGAATGTATATTTTAATCCTTGATTATAATAATTAAAATAGTCATTAAACACATTTTCTAATAACAATGAAAGCTTATTTCGATGAATATACCAATGAATACAATTTTAATAAACGCCAATCATTTATATGTACATTTTTTAACTATTATCAAGCGACGCAGTAGCGGCGCAATGCCAATAATGTATGTACTGAGCAAATACTGCGCCAGTTGCAACTTTGGCAATCAGTATTGGCCTAATATCAATTAACAGAATGTTGGCCAACAATCCCAAGGAGCACAATCTAGTGGCATAACAGTTACAGAAATATTTATACTTTCTTAAAAACTTTGTAACTTCTTTTACAACCGTACTGTAACTTAAAAGTGCAGGTAATAACGTCGTTGAAATGTTTATAACTAAGTGAGAAACCTATACGACTGATTTCTAACATCTTATTAATCACATTAAAACTTGTAATATACAACTGTATTACAACAAACCGTTAATAGTCATAGAATAATGTCTCAATAATCATCTTAAAGATCATGTATAGATGTTAATACAAAACTTTCGTCAATAATTATCAAAATTAAATATTTTTTATCAAAAATAATATTTTTCTTCATATTTACATCTTAATATTTATCGCATTTGAGATATACGCCGAACATTTATACGCATATACATATTTATGAAAACGAATGCAGTTTCGACGGGATTTGAACCTAAGACTTATGAGGAGATAATCTAACACGCTAACCCTGAGCTATAATTGCACGCATGTCTGGACAGTTTCTGTCCAGACATTTTCATTTTCTGTTTTAAATCTCTTTATTATTTTTATTATTCGGTATTATTTGATGATCACCTTATTATATTTTGAGGTCTAGCAGCGCCAAGTTTTTTACATAAAAAATTTTGTTATTTTAATAAAATTTTCTAATTTTGTGATGCTTCGTCTTTAATTTTTTGAGATTAAATGTTGTATTCCATTGCAAATATAAAAGACTCTTGAATAGAAAGACAAAGGTACGTATCACTTTGTCTCGTTAATTAAATTTTATATGTTGCAATAAAATATATATTCTTTTTGCAACTGGCGCAATTTAAAAATTTTATTTTATTTTTTTTTAATACATGCATATGTACTACTGAGGGGTAATTTATAATAAAAAATTAACAATAAATTACCACTTGAATTATATTATTTATGTAACGGTTTTTTCAGTTTATGTAACAGTTTTTTACGGGAAGTTCGTGCACACTTAGCACCTCTTTTTACCCTTTTTTAAAAAGGTAATTTTGTTAAGTAAGTTGTATAAACGATACAAAATCTTAAAAAGAATATCATATAATGACTAATTCGTACAAAGTCGTATGAATGCTATAAAAACTTCAAATAGTTGTATAATCAACATTAACTATTTTGTCGTATAATTTTCCGATATGTGAGTTGTACAAACGTCTTACGGAGTTGTAAAAACTTTCTCATTGTGCTCCTTGGGATTAGCAATTATAGATTGGCTAAGTTGTTATCTAATATAAACGTAGTTTCGTATACTATTTTTATATTGTATTTGATTTTTACGTTATGAACGACCATTCACTTAAGACAGTTTTCGTCCGAAGCTTTCAATTACATCTTTAACAAGATTTGCGAACAAATTGCACTTACAATTAGTGAGAGCGTTTTTGCAACGTTTCAAATTGTCATATCTTAAATTTTATGTTTAACTGGCGTTCTATTACACTTACACTATACTGGTTTTAATAATTATGGATAATTGAATTTGTTAAACATTGAGAATGATCCAATAAAGGGAAACATTTGTTATTATATTATATGTTATACACGTTTTATTGGTTTAATAATTTAACACTGACACTTACACATAGCTCTGACTTATAACTCATCATTTTATTTTTAGTTATTCTAATTGAGCCTTGTACTACTAACCTAATTTTATAAATATATTTTTCCTGTGCTGTTGAAAGATTTTGTTTTGGTAAGAAAGACAATCATAGCTGAAAATGTTTTCTTGAGAACTAATTGTAAAAAGTATATCTATTTAACTGTTCAAAAAGTATTATATTCTAAATTTGCGTGACATTTTGTATAACAAATTTATATATAAAATGTGTAAATATAAAGTTTAATTTTTATAATAAATAATGTTAAAATTAAATAACAATAAATAAAGGACAAAATAAGAATCAATCACATTGATCATTTATCGCAAGTAAATTAAATAAAAATAGAAATAAAAATAAAGAAAACAGTCTAGTTTCAAACATAAACCATGTAATTGATTAGAAAAAACAATGGGTACTATAGATATAAATATACACATATGTATAAATACTAAGAAATAATAATGGGTACCATAGATATAAATACATATGAATACTACGAAATTACACGTTTCGACTACCAGATTGAACCCTCAGCTTGCTAGTTTAAACTTATTGTAAGTTCCACAAAAGGCTCATTGTTAGACTCAATAATATCGACAATACTAATTCTATAATAATTACAGGTCTAAAGTCTAAATTTCACGATATTGATGTTTGTTGGAAATCTCGATTTAAAATAAAATTTGATTATAACAACAAATTTAATATCCACGAAATTAATCATGTCAATGATGCCAAGGATTCTGATTTCATCAAAACTTTATTGAATGTTAAAATTCTTATGATTTCTATTTAAATATCATTCTATTTTGCAACAAAGTGGTATAGTAATCTTCGTCTACAATACTACAATTTTTGACAAAGTCGAATAACCTGTTTTTGCAAATTCTTCTACAATATATGTATATTCAAAATAATTCTCTTCTTCAAAACTCACGTTGATTCTTTGACGTAGTTTTGCACTTTCTTGTACGCTAATAAAGTCTTATCACGATTTTATTTCAAAATGAAGTGTAGTTTTATAAAAAAAAAGACAAAGATCAAATGACTCATACATGACATAATAAGTGCGCTCGGGGAGACTTTATTAGCGCTATTTACGTCATTCTATCTTCATCGTTCATTAGACGTAAAACAAGGATAGTATGATACAAACAATGCTAATAACATCTCCTTGAACGCACCCAATAAGTATATTATATGACATATATGTATAACAGTTTCATAATAATTGTTTTGTGATCAATTCAACAATAATCTTCTTTGTAATAAAATACTGAGATGACCTTGCGTTTATAACATAGTTCCACAACAATTCCCATCTGCAATGTAGAACGATATTGATTCTTTTGTGACAAAGTCGTGCAATAATCCTCTTCCGAAATGAAATTCTGCGATGATTCTCTTCTGAGATAGAATTTCATAATAATCCTCCTACGACAGTCACGATGATTCTCTTCTGCAATAAGATCCTCTTCTACGATGATCTTCTTCCACGATGGAAATTCCATGATAGTTTTCTTCTACGACAGAGTCCCGTAATGATTCGAGTGGCACTGATTGGACATGGTTCGATTGGACACGAGCCACTCATTGCTTTTAAAACTAGAAAGCTCCAGCATATAGCCTCTGTGATTGAATGTGCAATCGAGACATGATTAATCAGGATCTTTTAGATAATTCTCTTCTGTGACAAAATCTGATGATCCTCTTCTGTAATAAAATCTCATAATTTTCTTCTGCAACGAAGTTTTGTGGTGATCTTCTTTTACTATAAAATTTTACTAATTTTTTTCTGTGACAAAGTATCACGATGATCCTCTTCTGCGACAATCCCATGATGTGAGTCTCTTTGTGATAAGATTCCAAAATAATCTTCTACGATAAGGTTCCACGATGTTCCTCTTCTACGACAAAATTCCATAGATTTTTTTCTACGAGAGTTCCATGATATGATCCTCTTCTGCAACAAAGTCCTACAATGATCCTTTTCTGCAATAAGGTCCCACGATGATCTTCTGCGATTTCCCGCGATGGTCCTTTTTGTGATAAAATTCTGTGATGATCTTTCACGATGGTCCTCTTCTGCAATGAAATTCTACGATGATCTTCTATGATGAAATCCCGTGATGATCCTCTTCTGAGACAGAATCCCATGATGTGATTCTCTTCTGCTTCAAGGTCCCACGATGATCTTCTGCGACAAAATCCCATAATATGATCCTCTTCTGTAACAAAATCCCACGATGACCCTCCTCTGCGATGAAATCTTGCAATGATCCTTTTTATGATAAAGTTCTGTGATGATCTTTCACGATGGTTCTCTTCTGCAATGGAATTCTATGATCTTGTATGATGAAATCCCGTGATGATCCTCTTGCGACAGAATTCCATGATGTGATTCTCTTCTGCATCAAGGTCCCACGATGATCTACGATAAAATCCCGCGATGATCCTTTTTGTGATAAAGTTCTGTGATGATCTTTCACAATGGTTCTCCTCTGCAATGGAATTCTACGATGATCTTGTATGAGGAAATCCCGTGATGATCTTCTGCGACAGAATCCTACGATGTAATCCTCTTCTAGAACAAAATCCCACGATGATCTTCTGCGATGATCTTCCGTGATGATTCTGGTCTGCGATGATCTTCCGTGATGATCCTCTTTTGCGATGATCTTCCGTGATGATCCCTCTGCGATGATCTTCCGTGATGATCCCTCTGCGATGATCTTCCGTGATGATCCCTCTGCGATGATCTTCCGTGATGATCCTCTTCTGCGACAGAATTCCATGATGTGATCCTCTTCTGCATCATGGTCCCACAATGATCTTATGCGATGAAATCCCGCGATGATCCTTTCTGTGATAAAGTTCTGTGATGATCTTTCACGATGGTCCTCTTCAGCAATGAGAATTCTACGATGATCTTGTATAACGAAATCCCGTGATGATCCTCTTCTGTGACAGAATCCCATGATGTGATCCTCTTCTGCAACAAAGTTCTATCCCGTGATAATCCTCTTTTACGATGAAATCCCGCAATGACCTTTTTTTCGTTACGCGATTATATTTTTAAACAATAAAATTCTATGATAATTTTGTGATGCATTAATTTATGACTTCGCGATAATACTTAATTATGCCGTCCTGAAAATCTTAGTATACTAACAATTTGTTTAAAAAATTAACTCAGCGATGACAACTTTTTTATGATAAAATGATGCCTCTCCTTTAAAAAAAAATGAGAAACACATTTATACATTTTTATTGCGGTATTATTTAATAATGAAGAATTTTGAAACGATGTTCATATTCTTATGCGGTATTAAGTTATAACTATTTGTTTTCATAGTTTGCGTATAGATTATATATAATTGTCTTTTGGGTCATAGCTCTTTTTTGAATTTTAATTTTTAATTATTTAAGCCGTTCTTTATATTTTCAATTATATATTGTTATGTTTCGCCTTTGTGTATATTTTTATTGTAATTTAGACTGAAACAATAAAAACTTGTATTTGATTATTCTTGTATTAATTTGTTTAACAAATTATTAGTATGCTAATAGAGTTGTCAGGACCGTGTAACTATAAACAAAAAATTACTTACTTTTTTTAGAAAGAAGGATATGCCGATTTTCTAGAATCTGCACATTTCGCACCAGCACTGTTGAAAAAAACTGACTTCTTACAATTCCTATGACAATATTCTATTTTGCATTGTACATCCACGATGATCTTCTTTTGCGACGAAATCCTAGTTGATCAAGAATGCTGATTTAACAAACGGTAAATTACATATAACGCAAGTTTCGTATGCCTAGAGATGAAAAATTTTCAAGATTTCGAAGGCAGCCAACGGCAAGAGAAATTGAACACCAAATTGGTACGTTTGCGCAGTCGAGCAAGTATTTGGAGACCAGCATCAAATTCGAAGGTCGACAGTAGATCGTTACATGGTTGAACACTTTTGTACGTCTCTAAAACACTCCGTTAATAGGAAAAATTTTAAAGAAACGGATAACTCACGTTGAAGGTTCTTTGGTCGATAACAATAAAATCTCACAAGCAAGAGAGGAAACGGAATCCAGCATCTTCAGGCTAAAAAAAGTATAAGACTGTTTATGACGATATTGAGAAACAGAGGACCACTTTATACACAAGCATTACTCTCTTCTAAAATTCTTAAGGCTTTTGAGTAATCACTACCATAGATGACTACTCAAGAGCCATAAATGTATATTTATAAAACATAGAAAAAAGAAAAACATAAATATATTTTATTAAAGATATGTTAAAATATATGAGTCTAGATTTACCAAATGCTAAGTATAACAAACATACTATAGCAAAATAGAATTGGAATCGATTTGAATTTTGATTTATCTAGTTAATGACTTAATTAATTCAACAAATCCAATCTAGAAACGTATATTTAAAAAATCGATATAAAATTAATTTTCACTTCAAATTTTTAATTATCTTCGTAAATGTTAAATCCCAGCCAACGCTAAATATTCTTGAAATATTCATAAAAAGTTCCTATCTCAGAAAAATATTCCAACAGTATTGCGGAATGTTCCGAAATATTTACGGAAAGTAAAAACAATCTCGACGTTTGCACATTCTGTGACAATTCTTTTACTGTTCCGGCATATTCGGCACACTAAGAATACGAATTAAACTTTCTATGACTATTTAGCGTTAGCCGGGATAATTTGAATTAAATATTTCACAATGAGATCTAGTAAATTTTTAAGGAAGCCGATACTGTTAATCTTTTAATACTGAATAATTAAGTAGTTTAAAAAAATCGACGTTAATTTCTCAACGTTCAATAATTAAACGATGAAAAAAGGATGACAAAAGATTTTTTTTTAAACCGTTACCTGGCAAATTCAGCAGTTGCTGCTTACCTTTATCACTGTTCCGTACATCTTTCTTAATAAATTAGTACATTTTATCGAGTCGCATGCTATTGTTATCTTCCTTTTAATTATATCACTAATTATTTCATCTTCTTTCTAATTAATTCTATTAAAATTCTATTAAAGCTCGAAATCCTTATTTCGGTCTGTAATATTAGACTGAACGAATCCATATAATCTATGCCAAACTTCGTAATTTTCATCCTCTTCAGGAAAATTGTATTTTTCAATTTTGCTCTCTTTGTTGCAAAACCTAAAGTTATCTCTTTAAGAGATCAAGTCCTTGTTAAAAATATATTTTAGCAACATAACTTGCTAAGAACTTTCCACTGAGTTGAACTATAATATTTTGCATCATTTCCTCTTTCCAACTAGTATATCAATTTTCATATATTTCCTGTTCCTATAGAAACATGACATATCACATTATATTGTTTTAAATGACTGAACCATCCTACTCATTCCATGACTAGAACATATTTTATGTATAACAAACGTCGTGATTCAAATAACAGCTTTCTGTGAAAAAACAAAGTAGTATTTGATCTTTCCCTCCCTACTATTTGTAGTATTTTGTCATTCTCACTATATACCTCCCATAGATGGTCTAACTAAAAGATGAAAAGACCTGTTAGAAACCTATATATTGACAATTGCAATGAATTATTATGTCTTGTAATGAATTATGTGTATTATTTTAATGAAATATTATATACTTCTCTCTCTCTCTCTCCCCCCCCTCTCTTTTCAAAAACTTTTAAAATCAATGTCTTCTAAAAATAATGTGTCTTTTTCTCTTTTCAAGTTAGGAAACGTCAGACTTATTATTACTTAGATTTTTCATAAAGTATCTCTAACTTCATTTGATACAAGGTAGTTCCATAATGGATAAATTGTTGAAATTTCTTCTACAAAATAAAAATTTTGAACCTATATGCAGCAAATTGCAATAAAATAATTCCATTATAATTAAATTAATGATGAAAACAAAGTAATTTGAAAAGCATTATCTAAAACTCTTTGGCTTTTTAGATTTTTAAATATTTATAAATCCTTGAATGACTCCTGTGAGCTTCAAATTCTGAAATTGGTAAATTACTGAAGTATTATCTTTAGCCTTTTGTGTTGATAATTAAATGTTTAAATTTCGTATTTTTAAATTTATTTCATCCCGAAATTTGCAAATTCATACGGTCCGTATGCTCGGCGCATCCTTGCAGAAGTCTCGTGCGAACTTTGTACGGATTCAGATGAAATTACATCTTGCCAATCGAAAGACATCAGCATATGTATTATCACATCATATGTGATATTGACAATTATATATCTGGTAATCTTGCGCCATCTTGAAACATCCTTCAAGTACATTTTTCTTCATTACCATTGTGCAAAGCAGCATCTTCCTATGACTCACAAAAACATTGTTTTTTCCCCTGCCCCCCCCCCTCCCCCTCTATATTTGCATATATAAGGCACAAAGTACAAGGATCAAAGATCAATAATGATCTTCCGTCTCTTGTTACCTTTATCGTTTTCATACAACAAATCCAGAGGTATCTCCTGATGATCACCAATTGTATCGTCGACAGGTTGTAGAATTAGAACTGTGCAGATAATGACGGTCGGGGGTGTTTATAGATAATCTATGAAAGTTTTAGATCTAGTTCTTTCGTTCTGCAGCTTGCTATGTAAAACATAAAAAGAACCGAACAAAGCAAAATGCAATATGTAAATTATATTACGAATATGATATAGGAATTATACGATATAAGGAACGATAACTAGTTACGCTCTAACAGATTTACTCTCATTTTCATTATCTTAAACCGTCCATCAAATCTTCACGATATAGTCACGTTCAATAGATTGCATTTTATATTTTGGTATGCCAATCTCGAGACACTTAAACCACAGTTCCTCGCAGTTCGTCGGTCGAATAGGATGAGAAATCTTCCAAACACACGCAGCTGTCTGTCAATCAAAAAGGTTTGTCTCATTTGCACCTCCCCCCTCCCCCATCCTATATCTCTTTATTTACCTCCACAAAAAACATTCTAATATAAAATTATCCCTGGTAGCAAAGCTACGCCTACTGAAAAAAATCACGTCACACAGTTGCATGATGAAATCATATAATTAAAATATATAAATCATGTAACGGATTGTTCCAAATCAGTACGTGATTTTTTTAAATTACGTAATTTAAAAAGTCACATGATAATATATTGTTTTTCTTCTATTTTTATCATTCAATTCTTTAAAATTTGCCAACTATAAAAGCATATAATGGATGAAATTATTTCTAATATCATGTGATTTTGAAATTACGTCATTTTAAAAAATCACATATTGATTTGGAACAATTCGTTACGTAATTTGTATGTTTTAATTACATGATTTCATCGTGTAACGTCGTGACATAATTTTTTTCAGTAGGGACGTCATTTTGTCATCATTTTGACGTCAAAATGATGACAAAATGACGTCAGCTTGCTACCAAAGATATTATTGAAAAAAAAGTTCAATACTTTGTTGTCATGTAAATACTTCATTATTAAAATAAGAATACTGAACTAAGATAATTTACCTTGTAACACACCTTAAATTACCAGATAAACAATTTGATCAAAAATTTAAATATATGGATATAAATTTTACTTAGCCAGGTTTTACCGTAATAGAAAATTCCCTTCAATTGGTGTTGATTTACCACTCTTGCTTTTTGTATTGTGTTGTTTGTGCCCTTTTAAATAAAAATATTGTTTCATTGTGCTCTTATTTTTGTATGATTTTTTTCTTCGTGTACGCCTCGATTCATTCCTGGTACAGACTTAAATCCTTAAACTGGTCGGCTAAGATTGGGATTTCGATGAAGATATCAAGATTCTTTTTCAATTTTCTAAACATCGACTTCGAAAGCTTTGGCTAGTAAAGATTCCCAGACGTATACATGGATTCCTGCTAGTTCCAGGATAGTCAGTCTCCAAGTTCTTAGATCTTTGGATCTTCGGATTTTTTACAATTGACATTAATTCGTTTAATTGACATAAATTGTGTAAAGATGACTAATAGAAATGAAATAAAATGCAGTTCCTACTTCAATTGAAACCAACGTTACCAAGTCAAAAAAACCTAACATTTCCGCCATTTCTTACACATAAACATATAATCCTTGCGCATATACTCTTTTTACATAGACAATTTTTCCTTCTCTTGCTAAGTCACCGGTATATATCCTCCAAACGTCTCTCATACTTTCTGACCATCTAAAACATACACGTTAACGTCCTATCCTGGTCTCGGCATGGCCGACAGTTATGCAGATCTATGAACACATTATTAGGGCAGCGCAGAACAAGCATAAACATGGAAACTTAACAAACAGGAAAAACTTCCGATAACTCTAATAGGTTATTCGCATGCCGAATTACCTTACTTGAAGTATACCTGTGACCTTAAGATAACGGTTCTCTGCATCATTAGCCTATGTTACTCAACGAAAATGAACTTATTCTGGATCTGGGGAAACGATCGATCGGGGGAATGGAAGTTCATTGCATGAAACTTCATTTCTCATCGTTGTAGTCATCACCCAGATGAGCTCGGTATCATGACGATTCGTGCAAAAGATAATTTGTGCGCCAAGTCAACCAGCCTCTAGAAACACAAATTTTTTCCTTCCCACTCACTCAAGACAGATATACTCCCTTAGGGTTCTTTTTTTTCATTTGCTGCAATCTTATAGGTTTCCTAAGCCAACGATAACGACGACATCGTCCATATATTGACAGCTTCATTCGCGATAAGGTGAATTTTCTATGATGTCTATGTGCCAGACTGAAAAGAATTGATGGTATTAATTAGTGAATAAAAAAGTTGAAGAAGAATAGTTCTACATTGTTACTTGCAAAAATGTATTTATTTATCTTACACTCCTTTCAGTACTCCTCATTTCATCTTCTTATCTAACTTGTATCACAGTTTTACTTACAAATGTATTTCATTAAAATTAAAAGTATCACAATGGTTTACAATAATCGAGATCCTTTGTCTTCGTTTACCTTGATCCTAAACAGTATAAAGCATATTAGAAATATGTGAGAAAAAATTCATCAATATTGAGCCTTGGTAGGTTACACTTGAGATACATAAAATTTTAGAATTAATTCACAATTTAATAAACATAAAAAATGCATTATAATTTTCAAAAATTTGATTAATCCTTCGATAGCACACTATGTTTTTTACATACATATATAATACACTAGGCGTTATAATAAAAATACTGTATAAAAGTTAAATTAAATTACATTATATCAAGTTTTTTCAATCAAAACATCAGACATTACAAAAAATATAATACAAATATAAAAAAAATATGAATATGCAAACATATGTATATTTCTTAATATAAAAATTAACATTTAAATAAAAGAAAAGTCGAGTATGTCATAGTTGCACCAAAGGATTAAATATTTGTTATACTATTCAGGATCAAGAAGAGTTAAATGCTATACACACTAATAGAATTATTATCACAATGAAAGGCAGTCTTATAACATATGTATATGAATTTACAAATTTTTTACAAACTTAAAAGTATGTCTAAAGTAATGTGAAAATTTTTCTTCCTTTCCGTTCTTTACCAGTATTTTGCTTTAATTATACACATGTTAAATATATTATATTAGCAGACAAACTCTAAATAGTGAAAATACTTTGGTTTCGATACAGTTTACAAACCAAATTGATGACAGGCAGGAAGGCAGATGTATGTGTGTATGCGTACAAAATCCCAAGGTCTGCACCTGTATTACAGCAACTCTCTTATCTCTCTCTCTCTTTCTCTCTATCCTTTTTTTCCACCTGCGTCCGCCATCTCAAACGGTGAGACTGCAAGTAAAAAATATCTAGATATATACTAGTAACGATGAGACTGCAAAAAATTGCCGTAACGCTGCAGGATTATTTGGCATCTTCTGGATACATCGAGGTTGCTTGCTGATATTGGAACATAGCTCCATACTAGAATAGATTGGTTCGTAAGTCAAATATTTCCTGTTCTGTTTCAGTGAGGCAGAGAAAAAACAAGCAGAAAATAGACATCGAGACATCCATCCATAGATCGTCATATCGGCATTTATTGTATAGAGTGTTGTAGTTGATTAAACGCACTCTTTTATTGGGAGTTAATGCGGAACATTTACTGACATGGCCCTTTCACTCAAACAACTACTTGGATGAGCTTGAAAATATGATCAAGAGTTTTTTTGCAGATTTTCACATCTTCACAAAAATACAATGTTTTGATCATTATCCGTGGAAACAAGACCATGTACTCTCCAGGCCTAGTCACCGCTGCACGGACGATTTGATTGTACTCAGCTGCTGAAGGAAGTCCACTATGCTGCTAAGATCTTCGCACAAGTTATCCCGCCAGAAATTGATATTCCTCGAGTCAGGATGATGGCCACATCTCTCGAATTCTCGTTCAGTCGTATTATACAGGCCGCAGCTGCCGTACTCCACGTCCTTGAGGAGATGCTTTCGCAAATGCTGCCAACGGGCTATCCTTGATAACTGCTTAACCCGCAACTCGTATTCTGCCTTGTGTAGGGCGTGAGTCAACACGGCTTCCATATGGAAATCGCGTTTGGGGCTCCTATGGCACTTTAGCTTCTTCTGACGCACGTTAGTGATCCAGCTAGTCAATTGTTCCGTATGGCTCGGCTTGCCCATCTCGATCTCTCGCGGCCGATCGCGAATGTCTCTCGTGACCGCGGACAATTGCGTCACACTTCCATAAGTAGGAACTATTCTAGTTCGCCCCATCGTACAACTAAGTATTGATTTAAGTATCGAATACACCAACCTGTATCTAACTCGCGCCTAGTCGATCGCTCGCCAGCAGTAAAGTCGCCTGAGACTTCTTTTTAATTAATTTAATGGCTCCTGCCTTCCTAAGAGTTCCGGAGACAATACAGCCAACGATGCCTGAGGCGTATATAAGCGAGATCCAGCCGCACCGTTCGGAGAGGACATGCAGAATGGCCGCCCAGTACTCGTAGTGGGGGCCTTATATATCTAAATGGCTGTCTTTAAGTGTAACCTTACGCGCTGGCGTGCGAAGTAGTTCCGCATTTGTGTCAAAAAATTTGTCCGACGTCATCAAATTTCTCACTTATTAGCAATACAATTCATTACTTCGTAATAGAAGGTGCCTTTAGGAATTGAATCGGGCACGAATTACTGCTTGTAAAGCAAAAATCAATGCATCCGAGAAAACAGATTACGGCGTAGGAAATGAGTGCCGTAGGACGTCGTAGGCGACACGGTCTCTATAATCGCAGTTACTGCGTATTCAGTTGTTACAAGTGGGAATGCACTTTTTACGCATGTGCGACAGATCAATCGTGCACATACGAGTGGTCCTACGATGCATGTGTTCCAAAATTCACTGCCAGCGCTGAAAATCTACAGTTTACGTTATGTACACTATATATTTTCAGCACTGGCAGTAAATTTTGGTCGGTCAAAATCATTTCATCCTTGTTGTTTGTCAAATGTTGAACGAAGACAAATGATGCTCATGAGTGACTCTATTCATGAGTGTGTCAGCAGTGGCGTAGCGAAAAAAATGTTTCGGGAGCTGTAGAAGTCAGTTTTTTTTAATACTCTTTTTTATATTAGTGACACATTTGGTAAGCATAAACAAAAAAAGTTTCGTTTAAAACAAAATAAATTCAATAGCAAAAAAGTTATGATAATTTATATACATGTCGTTGTAATATCGCGTCAGACGTTTCGCTGACGCTGCATATAAATTGTCATAATTTTTTTACTATGGGTTTATTCTTCCTGCTTACACTTTGTACGCTTTAGTGTAAAGTGTACACTTTAGCCTTCTTCTTGTCGGAAGTGACGTTAAGGTGTATGATTACACGCTGTTTGCCTTTAAAGGCTCGTCTACAATACACGGAGTAAGAAGTAAGAGTAAGAAATTGACCAATCACACTCGAATGTGAGAAGAATAATCGACTGTGATTGGTCAATTTCTTACTCTTACTTCTTACTCCGTGTATTGTAGACGACGCCTAAAGTATAATACATTTTAATGACGTATTTTACACTGGTTCTACACATGCTTGAGAGGTGGTGTAAATTGGTGTATTGTTACACTAATAGGTTAGGTTGCCAATGATTTGAATTTTGATTATTGAAAGTAATCATTCATTTTGATCATTTAAAAATCTAAAACTTTCCAGAAAACTTCTTCAAATATTCAACTACAACGTAGCATTAATAAAAAATTTTAATTCGAAAATTCGAAACACAACGTTTAACGTTTGAAAAAGAATTTACTAAACTCGACAAAATATTAAAAATCCGTCATTTTGTTGTAAAGTGTTTCGAAAATTTCGGAATAGCTCTACAAGTCGCAGAATATGTCAAAAATTATTGTGTAAAAATTTGAATGATAAATATTAATTTCCGGCTGAGATTTCGCGAGCTGAAGTGCTGTCGTTCTCCCAACGCCACTTTTTGCGGTTGTACTAACAGCAACATTTTTCTTCTGTGTAATTTATCGAATTTTTGTTTACGTGCCAAATACAATGGACAATAACAACAAATATATTTTTAATACACAATAAACGATATTTTTGCCAACTAAATTAAATATGAGAACTATATCCCAACAGGATTTAATTTCTTCTCTTAAAAAACGAATTGATATTTACGGCTCGACAATTTTTTACACATTCGTGTGAAATTATTGAAATTATACAGAATTTCGGGGGGGAGGGGCTGTAGCTTCTACAG